ACCTGGCAGGTATGGTATCATTGGATCATTGGGTGATATTGCAACAGCAAACCAGTCCTGGCAATAAATCCTCAGCCTCAGAGGTCTTTGCTGTAACCTCCTCACTCAAATAGTCATTTGTTTCTGGGGAAATGCACCAGCCCAGCTGTGTCCTTTTATACTCATTAAGGCAACGTGCTAATTTACTGACTTGCTCTTCTCATTTGCTCCAGCTGATTTTGCCTTTTCAACCGTCTTCTATTTTTTACATTTAACCACAAATTTTCCAAGTTCTCATCTCCACTAGAAGACTCTCTCAAAACTTCCCTGTCAGCCATTCCCGGCTGTTCATCAGATAAAGAACCAGAGGAGATCAAAGGTCCTGACAATTCTAATACATCAGGTCTGTCGTCCTTTGTCACGTCCATCTCCTCATCCTGGTTTTCAGTCCAATCAGTAAGCCAGGCTGGTTCAAATTGTTCTGACGTAACCTCTTCACTTGAACTCATATCAATCACAGGAGCTGAATCCAAGCCCAGAGCCACAACACAAATTTATCCATCATCCCTCAGAATGTGCCACAGTTAGCCCTGTTTAAGAGCCACTGTTCTAATCTTTAAGACAGCGCTGTGATTGCATGCTTATGGCTGCCATTTTGAGTTTTTTTTTTAAACTTTCCACGGCACTCCCCCCACCCCCGCTTCTTATATTGCAACAAAGCTACAATTTCTCAATTTATTAATAATCCTTGCGGAATGGTGCAGTGGCATAGAAGTGGAGCTCTCGCCTCACAATCATGGAGGTGTTGTGAGTTCAATTCTAGGTAGAGGCAGATATTTATCTCTCTGGGCACCGTGAGAACATATCTGCTGAACAAAACTCCACCTTGGCAACAGGAAGGGCATCCGGCCATTAAAACCCTGCTAGCTCCATTCAGTTGGCCAGATTCCACCCCGCAAGGGATTATGGGGTTGTTAAAATAAGATTATTAATCCTTGCTCTCCCATCGTTTACATCCTCAGGAATCTTGGAATCTGCAGACTCGGCTGCTGGAGCCAATGTTCCCAGATCCTCTGAGCATGCCTGATTTTCTGTCCCGTCTTCTGGCTCAGTGCGTGCTTTTGGAGGGCGTCCGGGCCGAGGGATCCTGTGTTTCTGGCACCATCCGTGTGCTCAACCTGGCCTATGAGAAAAGGGTCTCCGTGCGATACACCTGGGACTTTTGGGCTACCGAGCACGAAGCTCGTGCCTCCTACGCCGCCCCTGCAGGGCGGGACCAGGACCATGCTGACCGCTTTGCCTTCCGTCTGCCTCTGCTAGTCCCACTCTCCGCAGGGGCGGTGCTCGAGTTTGCCCTCTGCTACCTGGTGGGGGGAAAGGAATTCTGGGACAACAACCAGGGACGTAACTACTCTCTGCGGCCTCCTCCTTGCGTAGCCGAGGAAGATGAATTCCCCAGCCCCATTCAAGATTGCTGTGAAACTGGCTGGATACACTTTCTGTAGGCAAAGCTCTGTCCCCAGAAGAAAAGACGGAAAGGCTTGTTGAACCTTAAGTTTGATAGGAAAAGTAGAAGATCAAGGTTGAAACCTAGAGGTACACAGGCATTTGGGCACACCCACCCACAAACACACCAGAATTGACTCGGACAATTGGATTTGCTTCCTGTTCCCCAGTAGGCTTATCACTAAAACAAAATCCACTGCTTGTAGCTTTTGCGATCCCCAACAGAGCATTCACACAACCCCTGACATTGGGCCATCGCTCCGCAAGGAGGACCATTCTTTGTTTAGACTTGCTTGCAATCGAAATCCAGTGTCCATGTTGAGTGGGGAAGTCACTGAATGGAGGTGCCCTCCAAAGCAGATGTGAGCAGAGATGTCCACGAGAAAAGGATTTAAAAAAACCCTCAACATATTAGCCACAATGTCATCAAAGCTAAGTTCTACTCTCCCCTCCTATAAACTAAGCTTGGTACCTTGGAGGTTTTGGAGAGAAAGGGATCGGAGTAAAAGAGAATAAGAGTAGAGCAACAAAGATGATTGGGGACTGGAAGCTAAAACATATGAAGAATGTTGCAGGAATTGGGTATGTCTAGTTTAATGAAAAGAAGGACTGGGGTGACATGATAGAAGTCTTCCAATATTTGAGGGTCTGTCACAGAGAAGACGAAGTCAACCTATTCTCCAAAGCCCTGAAGGCAGGAGAAGAAGCAACGGATGGAAACTCATCAAGGACAGAAGCAACCTAGAACTAGACAGAAATTTCCTGATAGTGAATACAATAAACCAGTAGAACAGCTTGCTTTCAGAAGTTGTGGGTGCTCCGTCACTGGAGGTTGTTTAAGAAGAGATTGGACAGCCATTTGTTGGAAATGGTGTAGGGTTTCCTGCTAGAGCATGGGGTTGGACTAGAAGACCTCCAAGGCCCCTTCCAACGCTGCTATTCTGTTCTGTTCTGTATGGTTCTCTTCTGTTGAAATGCCCATCTTGTACCTTGTACACTGGGGGAAAAACACATCTGCATGTACGTGGATGAAGATCAGAGATTGTCTTCGATTTCCTGTTTTCCTTACTTTGGGGAAAACATTCTGGATCTCCGTTCCAAGGGACTCATTTGCACGTGCTGTTTCTTCGTTTTTCTGCATGAATGAATGTATTAACACTTCTCTTTGCAATCCTATTTTACTTCTATGCTGGCTGGTTAAAGAGAAAAAAAAAAATCATCCTTGTTATTCCTGATGAGGTGTTTCTTATTATTTTCATCTATGCGTCATGGACCCTGATCCATCTAATGTTTTTTTAAACCCACCAAAAACCCCAGAAAAGTTATTTTAGAAATGGCAGGCCATCTTTTAGCATAAGCTGCAGATCAGTGCCTTTATGGGGCGGGACACGGGACACCCTAACATTTCAATTACTTCTATGGTTGATGGGTTTCTAAATTGTTTTCTAGCACAAAACTAAAAGAACTCAACAATGTCTGAATGACACTCACACAATAGCGGATAGCGGTACAAGAACTTTGAGCAATTGAGTTTCCAGAATTCTCAGCAATAGCAGAAGTGAGGACCTATGTTCCCGTTATGATTGTGGACTTCAACTCCCAGAATTCCTGTGCCCAATCATGATCATGAAAGGGTCATAATTTCCCACACCTGGGCTAGAGGATTCTGGGAAAATCCCAAGTGCCATTTCTGGAATAAGTAGTTTGATCCAATGGGCCTGGGAAGAACCTTAATAATTACAGATTTTGTAACACTTTCTCCAGATCAGTGTCTCTGAAACTCAGTAATTTTAAGATGTGTGGACTTCAGTTCCCAGAATTCCTCAGCCAGCAGCAGACTGAGGAATTCTGTGAGTTGAAGTCCACACATCTTAAAGTTGCGGAAATTGAGAAATGCTGTTCCAGATTCTATTGCATTTTATCTCTGAGCTGACCTGCTTTGCTCTATATAACTTAAAAAGTTAGGTGTAAGATGGGGGTCCTTTCCTAGGGGGGCACTGTTGGGAATTCTAGGGCACTATTATGGGCCCTGCCACCCAACTATCTCCATGCCCACCAGAGACCCAATGACAGAAAATGTCCGGAGTAATTATCAGGCTATACGAAACTGATAACCAGTTCAATCATTTAATTATTCATGTATTTGTGCGTCTCATTGACTGGTGAATTTAAGGGGGAGAGGGGGATGCATCTGTTTCTGCTAGATATCAAAAGAAATTCATTCATTCCTCTTAATAACTGGAAGGGGGCGGGATGAATCTTCTCTTAAATCAATAAACATGGAAGGAAAACCCAGAGGTTCCTAATTCACATTTTATAGCCAGGAAACACACTTTTTGGCCTAAAGATCTGCAGTTCTTCGGATCCAGGGAATCCTGAAGTGGAGGCTGGATGAAAACTGGGATTTTTCAAGACAGACACCCAAAGGGAGGCGTTGGCTTGTTCAACAGAGCAGGGTTGTTGTTATTAAGCTGTTGTCCAAAGTGAGGCTTCCTGGAAGGGCAAAGTGAGATGGGTGACAGTGGAGGGGAAGACCAGAAAGGAGGAAGCAAAGGAGCGTGTAGCTGGGAGAAGGAAGAGAGGAAGGGTGGGAGAGAAGGAAGGAGGGAGGGAAGGAAGGAGAGAAAAAGGGGGAGGGAGAGAAAGAAAAGGTAGGGAGGGGAACGGGGAGCAGAAGGTATGAAGGAAGGAGAGGGAAGTGGAAGATGAAGGAAGGAAGGGAAGGAAGAAGAGAAGGGAGGGAGGGAGGGAGAGAGGGAGAGAAAAAAAGGAAGGAGAGGAATAGGGAGAAGGAAAGAAGGAAAAAAGGGAGGAAGAGAAAGGGAAGGGAGGAGAGAGGGAGGGGAGAAAAAAGGGAGGGAAAGGGGAGGGAGGGAAGAAAGGAGGGAGGGAGAAAAACGAAGGGAGGGAAAGAAGGAAGGAGGGGGGGAAAGTGAGGGAGGGAGAGAAGGAAAGAAGGGAGGGAGGGAGGGGAATAAGGAGGAGAAGATAGAAAGGAGGAAAGAGGGAGGGTGGAAGAGGAAGGGAAGGGAGGGAGGGAGGAGAGAAAAAAGGGAGGGAGAGAAAGAAGAGAAGGGAGGGAGGGAGGAAGAGAAGGATGGAGAGAAAGAAGGGAAGGGAGGCCCTCAAATCGCGGCTTGCATAAAGAGAAGCCCGTAGGAGCCCCCACCTGCCCGACCTCTCGGCTGCCCCGAAGCGACCGTCCGCATTCGGGGCGGGGGAAGGAGGCCCGATCTTCCCCCCACCCACCCTCGACCATCCACCGCCTTCCCATCCCGCGCGCTCCCGGCCTGCCCGGCTCGCCCGCTGCCCCCCCTCCCTTCTCTCCTCCTCCTCCTCCTCCCCCCGGAGAAAAAGACGGGGTGGGGGGAGAGAACCCATCTCAAGCCCTTCCCTCGCCCCAAAAGACGGCCGCAGAGTCTCCGCTTGCCCAGGTAACTCCGGCCGCTGCTTCTTTTTCTTCTTCTTCCCTTCCCGAAGGGAGAACCAACGGGTGGGGGAGATTTTTTGGGGGGGCGGGGGTGTCTAGGATCTCCTCTGCTCCGACTTTCCCCAGCTCTTTCCAACTGAGACCCCCAACTCACCCCCCATTTAAGGCAGCTGAGTCCAGTTCGTAGGTTTGAAGGGGGGTTCGGAGAAGGGGGGGGGGTCTTTTCCCACGGATCAAATCCGGTCTTTAGAGGGAGGGGGCTCTTTTTCTCTCCCCCTCCCTCTCTCTTTATCCAGATTCCCCTCCTTCCCTGCTAGGTTTGCACAATGTGGAGCATAATCCCACCCCAAAAAACATGTGGATTTATAAAAGGGGGAATAGTAAAAAAAAAAAAAGGGGGGGGGATAGAAAGAGTAAGAAAACTTTTCAAGAAAAAGAGAAGGTTAGGAAACACGGATCCAGGAGGGATTAGAGAAATGCACATTTTGCTGCAAGGTACGGCAGAATAACATGGTGTTCCTCTTTCTTTTTGCAAGATGATGTTGTGTGGGGCTGATTAGCCTCCCACTCAGTGAATCTTTCCTCCCCAGGCAGAAGGAAGGAAGGAAACAAAGGAAGGAAGGAGGAATGAAACGGAAGGAAGAAAAGAAAAAAAGAAAGAAAGAAAGAAAGAAAAAGTGAGGGAGACAGAATCAGAAGGAAGGCAATAAGGGGAAGAAAGGAAAGGAAAAAGAAAAGAGGAAGGAAGAAGGAAAAAGGGAATAAAGTAGAAAGAAAAGAAAGGAAGGAAAGGGGAGGAAGCCAAGCAGGCAGGCAGGCAGGCAATGAGGGGAAGGAATGTAAAATGAATGAGTGGAAGGAAGGAAGGAAGTTTTAAAAACTCCTTTTTTTACATACCGTACATGCTTTTCCAACTTTACCCACTTTAAGATGTGTAGACTTCAACTCCCAGAATTCCCCAGCCAGTATGCTTCGCTGCAGCAGGCATCCCATGCTTGCTGAGGGATTCTGGGAGTTGAAGTCCACCTGTCTTAAAGCAGGCCAAGTTGGGAATTCCTGCCATAGAGAGGAATCAACCAACCTATCTATCATCTATCTACTGTATCATTATGTCTCTTTATCATCTATCTTTCTATCTATCTATCTATCTATCTATCTATCTATCTATCATCTAATCTTATTTTAATTCCCATCCAGGTACAGCTGGCAGCCATGCGCTGGTGGGCAGTTTTGCTCTTTGTGGCGGCTGCATGGGCGATGGATGCCCACGCCAAGGGGTGCAACAAAGCCCTCTGTGCGAGTGATGTCAGCAAGTGTTTGCTGCAGGTAAGGCGCCGTGACAAGCATGCTGTGGCCGTGAGCTGGGTGCAAAGATTTAGGTTTGAGAAACAAATGAGTAATAATTAAAGGTAGTCCTCGACTTACGACCACAATTGAGCCCAAAATATTTGTCGCTATAGAAGACGTCGGTTAAGTGAGTTTTGCCCCATTTTACAACTTTCCTTGCCACGTTTGTTAAGTCAATCCCTGCGGTTGTTAAGTTAGTAATGCGGTTGTTAAGTGAATCCGGCTTCCCCCTTGACTTTCCTCATCAGGTTGTAAAAGGGGATCACGTGACCCCAGGACACTGCGACCGTCATAAATGTGAGTCAGTTGCCAAGGATCTAAATTTTGATCCCGTGACTTTAGGGATACTGCCATGGTTGTCCATGTGAAAAAATGTCACTTTGTAACTTCAAATTGTCACCAAACGAATGGTTGTAAGTTGAGGATTACTCGTCAGGTAGTCCTTGAGTTTCGACCACAACTGAGCCCCAAATTTATGTTGTTAAGAGAGCTTTGCTCCAATTTGTGTCTTTTATTACCACGTTTGTTTAGTGAATACCTGCAGCTGTTAAAATAGTAACAAGGCTGCTCAGTGAATCTGGCTTCCTCATTGACTTGGCTCCTCAGGAGGTCGCAAAAGGGGATCATGTGACCCTGGAATGTGACCCTCATAAATGTGCACCCACTTGTCAAGCATCTGAATGTAAATCACATGACGGATGCTACAATGGTCGTAAGAATAAAGCAGTTGCCAAGCCTAATAAGGATGCTGCAAAGGTCACAAGTATGAAAAACGGCCGTAAGTCGCTTTTTTCAGTGCCATGGTAACTTCGGTCAGTCACTAGACGGTCGTATGTCGAGGACTACCTGTTATTTCAGTTTTGTGGGTTTGTGACGCCCCTCTTTGGGCACAAGCGTTGTGTGTGCGCGCACAGAAGCCTGAGTTCCCTTTTTGGAAGAGAGTTGACCTTGCCATAACCAATATTTTTGGTGGCTCCACTCAACAGGAAATGTGCCAGTGCAAAGCCAACCGTACCCGTTGCTGCCGGCAGTGCGCGTTCTGCCTGGCTAAACTCTGGGAGCCTTGCTGTGATTGTGTAGGTGAGATGACTTGCCCTCCGGATGGGGAGGGGCGAGGGGTGGGATGCCAGACCCGGGGGAGGTCTCCTACCCTGTTTCCTCAAACTTCCAGCCTTCTCTCTGATGGGTTTCAATTTCCCAGGATCCTCAGGTTCGGAAGATCTACGGGGACTCCTCGCTTTAATGACCACGATTACGCTTGAAATGCCCTTTGCTAAGTGAGACACTTGTTCAGTGGGGTTTGCCCCGTTGTGCGACCTTCCTTGCCACCGTGGTTAAGCGAAGCACTGCGGTTCTGTTAAGATAGTCGCAGGGTTTTGAAGCGAATCTGGATTCCCTGTGGATTTTGATCGCCGGGAGGTCGCAAAAGCGGATCACGTGTCCCTGGGATGCTATGACCGTCATAACTACGTGTGGGTTCCCATGCATCCGAATTTTGATTGCGTGACTGTGGGGATGCTGCAGCCATTGGGAGGTCCAATCATAAGTCGTTTTCTTTCAGTCCTGTTGTAACTTCAAATGGCCACTAAGTAAATTATTGTTAAGTCAATCAATAGAATAGGAATAATGATAGGGATAGGGATAGGGATAGGATGGGATGGGATAGGATAGGATAGGATAGGATAGGATAGAATAGAATAGAATAGAATAGAATAGAATAGAATAGAATAGAATAGAATAGAATAGAATAGAATAGAAAATATGGAATGGAATGGAATAGGATAGGATAAGGAAAGAATAGAATAGAAAATATGGAATGGAATGAAATAGGAATAGAATAGAATAGAACAGAAAATATGGAATAGACTAGAATAATGGAGTTTAATAGTAAGGGATTTTGGAGGTCTTCTAACCCAACCCGCTACTCAGGCAGGAGATCGTATACCATTTCAGACAAGTGGCTGTCCAATATCTTCTTAAAAGCCTCCAGTGATGAAGCACCCACAATTTCTGTGGCAAGATGTTCCACTGGTTGATTGTGACTCTTATTACCATTTTTGACCTTCTGACAACGGCAGAGATTCACTTAAAAAAAACTTATGGCAAGAAAGGTTATACCATATGGGGCAAAAACTGACTTAACTGTCTTGATTAGCAATGGAGATTTTAGGCTCAGCTGTGGGTGGTATGTTGAGGACAACCTCTAATTCAAAGGTCCTTTGTTCCTTGCTCTTTCCTTCTTCTTGTCCTCATCTCCAGGTCTGTGTGATGAACGCTTCTCCTCCACTCCCCACCCTGCCCAACGAAGTTCCATGCATGACTTGGTGTCTCCGGTACCGTCCCTGTTTCGGGCCCTCCTGGCTCTGTCCAACAGCCACCCTGCTCTTGGCTGGAGCATCATGACTCTGCCGTTAGAAGAAGAACTTCGGCAAAACCACGTGGATACCGGACACCTTCTGCTGGGACCACATACAGGTATGCCCGGAGTGGGAAGGAACCTAAGAGGTCTTCTAGCCCAACCCCTTGCTCAAGCAGGAGACCCTCTACCATTTCAGCCGAATGGCGGCCCGATCTCTTCTTAAAAGCCTCCAGTGTTGGAGCACCCACAATTTCTGGTGGCAAGCAGTTCCACTGGTTAATTGTTCTCGCTGTTAGGAACTTTCTTCTTAATTCCAACTGGCTCCTCTCCTTGATTAGTTTCCAATGTATCCCCCAGTATACTGAAGTGGCTGTTTCTTGATCTTTCTAATTGTCACCCGGTAAATTGGGAAATAACAGCACAGAAAATAATAACAAGAGTTAGAAGGGACCTTGTAGGTCATCTAGTCCAACCCTCCGCCCAAGCGGGAGACCCTACACCATTTGTGACAAATGGCCATCCAATCTCTTCTTGAAAGCCTCCAGGGATGAAGTTCTCACAACTTCTGAGGGCAACTTCTGTTCCTTCAGTTGATGGTTCGCACTGTCAGAAAATCCCTGCTTATTTCCAAGTTGAATCTCTCGTAGATCTGTTTCCATCCATTATTCCTTGTCTGGCTTTTGGGGGCTTTGGAAAATAGCTTGACCCCTTCCTTCTCTCTGGGGCAGCCCCTCAAATATTGGAAGACGGCTATCCTGTCTCCCCTGGTCCTTCTCTTCCCTAGACTAGCCAGGCCCAGTTCCTGCAACCTCCGGTGTTAAAAATCTCCAGTGTTGGAGCAATCACAATTTCTGGAGGCAAGCTTTTCCGCTGATAAATTGTTCTCACTGTCAGGAAATTTCTCCTTAGCTCTAAATTGCTTCTCTCCTTGATTAGTTTTCTTCATCCATTTTTTCTTGTCCTGACTTCGGGTGCTTTCGAAAATAGCTTCACCCCCTCCTCTCTGGGGCAGCCCCTCAAATATTGGAAAGCTGCCATGATGTCCTTCTTTTCCTTAAACTGGACCTATCCAATTCCTGCTTCATATGTTTTAGCCTCCAGTCCCCTCATCATCTTTGTTGCTCTTCTCTGCATTCTTTCTAGAGTCTCAACATCTTTTTTCTAATACCGTGGTGACCAAAACCAAGGAGAAATTTCCTGATGGAACAATTAACCAGTGGAATGGCTTGCCTGCAGAACTTGTGGGTGCTTCAACATTGGAGGTTTTTAAGAAGAAATCGGACAACCATTTGTTTGAAATGGGATAAGGTCTCCTGCTGGTGCAGGGGGTTGGACTAGAAGACCTCCAAGGCCCCTTCCAGCTCTGTTATTCTGTTATCAACTTTTCTCCTTCTCATTGGCAGACCTGGCACTCCCGGACCCCAACATCCCCAAGGGCCCGAATGCAACGGCGCCAGCTTGCCAGTCCATTTACTTCAACGACTGCCTGTCCATGAGCCGCTGCCGCGCAGCCTGCCAGTCGGTGGGCGCCTGGCGTTACCGCTGGTTTCACAGCGCCTGTTGCCAGTGCCTGGGCCCAGACTGCCAGGGCTATGGAGGCGCCCATGCCAATTGCTCCAACTGCCAGGTCTGAGTGGTGTTGCTTTTTTTTGTTCCTTGACTCGTAGAGCGTCGCATGGCCTGCACTTTTCTACACAGCCTCCCCTGCAAACCGCAAGTAGCCATTACAGGTGGTCCTCAACTTACGACCACAAGGGAGCCCAATGTTTCTGTTCTTAGGGGAGGCCTTTGTTAAGTGAGTTTTGCTCCGTTTTCTTGCCACCATTAGGTGACTCCCTGCAGTCCAGTCATGCTGGCTGGGGAATTCTGGGAATTGAAGTCCAACTGTCTTAATGTGGCCAAGTCCCTGCTCTGGAGATCAATATTTCTCATATGCGGACTTCGACTCCCAGAATTCACCAGCCCTTCCGCCCATTATGGTCCTAGGTTGAATTAGTTGCAAAACAGTCATTCATGTGACCCAATCCTGTCCTTTATGTGGTGGTCATTAAGCGAATGCCACAATCGCTTAATACAGTTGCATCTCCGCTGATTCTGTCAGAAGAGTCACAAAATAAGTTGAGGACTGAGCTGTAGTGCTTCCTGCTTCGGCCCGCTTTCCAAACCCAGATACTTCCAAACCCGAGAACAAATTTAGGGGGGCACAAAAGACCATCACCCCCCCCCCCCGTGTCAACCCTGAAGTTGGCTGAACAATGGCCATTTTCTTTTTCTAGCCTTTCTCTAGGGTGGTTTCTCTTCTCACCGCTTCAGGGCTGATACAGCCCGGAGCGAAGGGGCCAGGGAACAGGGTGTAGAGATAGCTGTGGTGTTGTAGCCTAAATAAAATTCTTTCCCCTGGGAATCAAGGTGGGTTGGTGCAGGCGTCCGAAAGGTGGAGACTGAGGTCGCCTAGCAACTGATGGTTGGACCATGTGACTGGAGACGGGGGGGGGGGGGGGAGTGACAAAGTTTGACTTTTAAGTGGATGTCAAACAGGGCGGCAACTTAAAAGCCGGTTTTCCACCAGGAATATGCCAATTTGATATGTCCTAATAAAATGTTCTTTGAGGAAATCGCCTGCCTCCGAGTTCTTATTGAATGGGATGTAAATTACTTGAAACCCTGACACCCTGCCCAGCCCAGACTTTCCCTCTGCAGCTGGGGATCCATCTGTCCTGGGACCTCACCTTGGTCACTTTTCCTTCCTTCCCCAAAGCCCCCCCCCCCCCCCCCCGTTTTGCTGAAATTAGATGACAACAGCCCTGTGAATCCTTCCTTTTAATGATAAAATATCTCTGTAGTATTCTGTAGAAATAAAAAAATGGAGGAAACGGGGTTGGCCTGAAAATATCGGAGGCACAAAGTTGGCATGAAAGCAGGCGCTACACACTGTCCATTAAGGATCTGTCATATGTCGAAGGTGGATAAGTTTTTGCGTTGCTAGACTCAAGTTCAAACGAGACTCGTAAGTAATTTGTGGTTCCGACTATCCCACAGGTCAATCTGAGTTGTTTGGGACACTACATATGGCGTTTCTGGGCTTAGCAAGTTGTGCGAACCTGAACCACTTGCTGACATCATAATTAAATAGTTAAAAGGAGCTTATTGAGCAGAGATGGGGGATGGGATGGAGGGTGCCATCTTGACTTTTTTGACGTTCTCAGATGGAACTCGCTGCTACTGGAAGAACAGGAGACAATGGGTGAAAGCTAGTAAGTGTATGTGCTGTATGGATGTATTTGCCCACAAATCATTTTCTTTGGATTTATTCTAACAATGGCTGCAGAAACAGTGACTTCTAGATCAAGAGTCTTCAAACTTGGCAACTTTAAGACAGGTGGACTTCAATTCCCAGAATTCCCCAGCCAGTCATGCTGAGGGACTTTAAGACAGATGGACTTCAATTCCCAGAATTCCCCAGCCAGTGGCTGGGGAATTCTGGGAGTTGAAGTCCAACGGTCTTAATGTGGCCAAGTCCCTGATCTAGAGATCAATATTTCTCATGCGGACTTGAACTCCCAGAATTCACCAGCCATTCCGCCCATTATGGCCCTAAGTCAAAATAAAAGTCGCAAAGCAGTCATTCATGTGACCCAATCATATTTCCTTTATGTGGTGGTCATTAAGCAAGTGCCACAATCGTTAATTAATCTTATTGTTCACTATGGGGCATTGTGTCCCAAACCAGAAATACCAATTTTTATAAAAAATATTGTAAGACACAGTGAAATGATCACAGGACATCACAAACAGATGTGAATGCAGGATGGTTACTAAACGTCCAATGTGCGCTCAGATGACAAGAGGGGCAGCCACTGGAACTGAGTCCTAAATATCCTGAGACAGGTCCGTCTTAAGTTCGAACCATCGCTAAGCGACAGGTCGTAAATCGAGAACTACTTTTTTAAAATGAGTCTTCTGAATGAGTATAACATACCTTTTCTTCTTCATAAACCAAATTAGGAAAAAGGCGCAAATCAACCATTGTTAAATGACAATATACCAGTCTATCTGCTATTGAACTTGGTCAAACCATGGTTTATGCCACCCCCTTCCTGTTTTAGACAGGTGAGATTTCTTGGCCAGATTTTTTCCTGAGGGGGTCTGCTGTTACTTCCTTCCCAGGGCTGAGAGTGATTGACTGGCCCAAGGTCACCTGGTTAGCTTTGTGCCTAATATGAGACCCAAACTCTGGTCTCCCTGTTTCTAGCTTGATAATTTACTACTTTCACTGGCCGAGTGTGTCTGACACCATCAATCGGGGTTTACATAAACTATGCATGAAACTGTAAATTATGGCTTAGACTTAGAAGAATTTAGACCAAGGAGAACTCGGGCTTCTGCGTCATCACTTGAAACTTCCAAGAGATTGGACTGCCATTTGTCAGAAATGGTGTAGGGTCTCCCGCTTGGGAGGGTTGGACTAGATGACCTATTAGGTCCCTTCCAACTCTGAGTATCTGTTAAATCAGTTGCTGAAGCTGCCTCGAGGAAGCAAGGGAATATAGCAACACCCGAGTGAACGATCGCAGCCTCGGGTTCGCGTCTCTAGACGCAAGGACCCGTTGTACGCCCGAAGCGGAGAGAATGTCCGCGTTCCGAAGGTCGGCGAAACCCCGAGTTTCCCGACCTCGCTTTAAGCTTGGCCCGCGTTCTAGGGAAGCCATGGCTGTCGAGAAGGGATTGGGGAAGGAAGGCGGCCTCGGCCCGCTTCTTCCTCCACCATCCTGCCCTGCTCCGCTCGCCCTGAACGTTCCGGAACGCGTGAAGCCACAATGAGCGGAGGGAGCCCTCAGAGCACGTGCAGAGTGCCGAACAGTCTGGAGCCTCCCCTGCCCGGCGCTCGGGGCTCCTCCAGCCAATGGCAGCCAGCCCAGCCTCTCCCGCGCCTAGGTAAGCCAGCGCCCCCTCGCTAAGCGGAGAGTTGGAGCGCGGCCGAGCGGGTGAGTGGCCGGGGACCGAGCCGGGCAGCCCAGCTTCTCCCCCGTCCAGCGCGCCTTTGCGCGGCTCCGACCCTCTCTTCTCCCTTCCGCCTTCGCAGCCGCGGCTTCCTTCTTTCCCCTTTAACCTAACAATGCCTTTCTCTTCCGCTTCTTCCCAGCATTGGGAGACTCGTTTGGGGCCCGGGGAACAAAGGCCAGCCTGCCTGCCTGCCCCGCTTCCTCCGCGGTCTTTGTTCCCTGGGCCCCAAACGAGTCTCCCAATGCTGGTAAAGAAGGGGAAGAGAAAGGCGATCGGCGCTAGGGGTTCGGCCCCCGGCAGGGAGAAGACTCCAAAGAGAAGCTTGGAGAAGGAGCCCAGAGGCCGTGCAACATGGGTCCTGTTGCTAAGAGTATGGGGGGAGGATATATGTGTGTGGACAAAGAGGCGGAGGGGAAGGAAAAGGAAGGGCAAGGCCGCGGGGGCGGGCGGGCGGGGGAGTGGAGGAGGTTCCCCTCGGCCGGGAGCGTCTCCGCTTCGCCTCCTCTCTTTTGAAGAAGGGGTGGTGGGAAAGTGGGGGGGGGGGGGGGCGGTGGGGAGGGGGCCGGGGGGGGGGGGGGGGGGGGGGGGGGGCCCAGGTAAGGCAGCTGTGGGGGCAGGGGCAGAGAAGCGCTGGTCCCGCAAAAGCTGCTTTCGCAGGCGCGCCTGGTTTGCGACAACAGGTTCTCTGTCCCTGGCTGGAACGCGAATGTTTTGGGATTACAACACTGAGAGTGGCATTCCTCATTGAGGACTGGCTCCTTAAGCAAGCGCCAGGTCCTCCGCAAAGCCCAAGGCTGGTTTCTTTCAACCCTACAGGCTTGTTGTGCAGGAAGGAGGAGGAAGAGGCCATTCCAAGGGATGGGTGGGTGGGTGGGTGGAAGCCACCTTTGGATTTGGGGGCGGGGGGAACATAAGCCAAAGGGCAGGCTGTGTCCCACAACAGGGAGGGTCCCGGGGTAGGGTTGGCGTAGAGGCTGGGGTGCAGAGCCCAGAGATGGTGAGCGAATGAGATGGGTGGACGTGTAGCTGTTTAGGGGAGCCCTTAAAAGGGGAGGGGGAGCTGTTGACAAGCAATCTTGGGACACCACAGCCCAGCATGCACAGCCACTCTCTGGCCGTGCTGCTTTTCTCAACGTTGGCTTTCCTTCTTGTTTGAAAGAACCTGGCAAAAAGTAGATTGTGGTGCCCTATCCTGACACCTGCTTCTCAAGGAGTCCTGTGCGGCACTTTGCAATAGGTAGTAGCATCTTTCTCTCGCCATGTGAGTAACTACTACCTCCCGCTGCTGATCTGGGATTAAGAAGCCCATGGAAGGAGTCTGGATGGAGGCTAACCCGTTAGGCAACAAAGGCCAGTTTTACACAGCAAGTATTGTCCAGCCTGTGTTGTGTTAGTGTAAGGCTGCTGCACAATTAACTCCATTTTACAGAAAGCCTTTGCGGAGATTCCTCAAGGTACGATTGCAATGGAGCCCAAAATTTATGTTGCTAAGTTGTTAGGAATATAAGTCACCTAACAGGTATTTGGGTTAGAAATATATAAACCAGGATAAACATTTTAAAACTGCTATCTTTAAGAAAATGCAAAAACTGTAATTAGGTGTGATTACTCAAATGGCCATAAGATGGAGACAGAAACCTGCTTTGTTTTAGTCTGAGTCTCAGAAGAGAGTGTGAGTCAATCTCTGTTTCCTTCTGTTGGAAAGTATTGCCCTTCCTCCATTTTTCCTAATTGACTGATATTCCTGGATTTGATGTAAGTCTGATACTGAACTGTTTTTGACACTGGACTTTGTTATTGGATTATCCCTGGATTGAAAACTGACTGATTTACCTGTGAATGACTTTTGGACTGCTTGTTTTTGAACTTTGCTTAAAGTTTCTGGAAGTAAAAACCTACGTTTACTGTACAGTGTATCTGTGTACTGTGTGTGTATTAGTCAAACACTACTCTCAAATACGTCTCCCTGTATCCGCTCATTCTCCTAACGGGGAATTACCTCAACATAAGTGAAACACTTGTTGGCTGAGGTTTGCCCCCATTTTACAACTCTTCCTGCTTGTTAAGTGAATCACGGCCATCGTCAAATTACTAACCCGGTTGTGAAGTGACTCTGGTTTTCCCCGTGGGCTTTTGCTTTGTCAGAAGGACGCAAAAGGGGATCGCGTGTCTCCGGGACACTGCAACCATCAAAAATATGAGTCAATGGCCAACTATTTGTATTTTGATCATCTGACCATGGGGATGCTACAATGGCTGTAAATGTGAGGCAACCATCATAAACGTGAATCAGGTGCCAAAGCAAACGTGAATCGGGTGCCAAAGTAAATCCTGTGACTGAGAGGATGGTGCAACGGTCAAAAGTGTCGGGAAAAAAACATGTCGCTTTTTTTCAGTGCCGTTGTAACTTTGGATGGTCACTTAAGTGAACTGTTGTAAGTCAAGGACTACCTGTATTGCAGTGGGGATTGGGAGTGGAGAGGGCAGAAGTGTGAGATTTGTTTTGCATCCAGAGGCAAACAACTGTCTGCTGATTAACCTTGGCATGTCCATCAAACATTGTGGCAGAAAATATCTCCGTTTATTTGACTCCACTTTT